TTTTGACAATCCGTGGGACATTCAGCCACAACACCACAACTCAAAGACACAGATTCTTCTGTCATCCTCTTAATAACATGCATGAAGTTGTGAGACAAAGTCTCACCATTCACATTTCTAAGAAACATTCTGGCTATACTTCTAAGACAGATTTTTTCCTTCTTCTGGTTGTATGTAGTCTGTTCAGTATAATTCAAAGGGCTCAATTCTTCTTTGGTCTTTCTAACTCACTATCCAGATTTCACATGCATATTGTTGTTACATGCTGTTGAGTTGGGTACAACTCATAGTGACACTGTGAACAGCAGATCTGAGCCTTCTCATATAAGCAAGATGTCCCTCTCCAAGGAATAGCCTCTCCTAGCAACATGCCCAAAGTATGCAAGGTGAAGCTATATCATATGTGCCTCTGGGTGCATCTTATCTAAGACATACCTGTTTGTTCTTTGGGTAGTCCATAGGATATTCAGTACTTTACTCCAAAGACATCAATAATTCTTCTGACATCCTTCTACAATATCCAGCTCTCAGATGCACAGCAAGTGGCTGAAAAGACCATGACCTGAATCAGAAACACTTTAGTCCTCAAACTGACATAATTGTTCCTCAATAATTTGAGGCAGTCCCTAACTACAGATTTTCAAAGTGCAGTACATCTCCTGGTCTCCCGACTGTTGATACCAAGTGTATTGATTGTAGATCTGAATAAGATGAAAGTCATCAACCGTTCTGTCTGTCATGATCTTGCCTATTGATCCAAGGCAGGCTTTTTTCCTTGACCTGAAAATACAATCCATATAGAAGCCTTCAGTCTTTGATCTTTGAAACAACAACTGTTTCAGGTCGTCCTCACTTTGAGCAAGCAAGCTTGTATCATTTGATTAACAAAAGTTATTGATGAAAAAGAAAAAGATTTTAAAAAAAGTTATTGATGACTCTTCCTCCAATTGTGATGCCACACTCTTCTTCATGGAGGTTTCATTATCCTTACTTCTAAGGAGCATGCTGTCCAGCTTCTCAAATAATTAGCTTTGCATTAAGCAATTGGAAAAAATAAGTTACTGGATTAGGCACATATGAGTCCTTAAAATGATGTCTTAGCTTTTTAACATTGTTCTTTGTCCAATGCATTGTGTCATTTGATCTCTTGACTACTGCTTCCATGTGTGTTAACTGTGGGACCAATTATCAAGTCCTTGACAACATCAGTTTTTTCATTCATTGTGATGTTGTATATTGGTCCACTTATGAGGATTTTGTGTTCTTTATTTTAATTAGTAAAACAATTAGTAGGTTTTTATGTTAATTAAATTAGTAAAATAATTAATAGTTCAATAAGAGTTTAGATCCTCTTTACTTTCGGCAAGAAGGGTTTTCACATGTTGTTAATATGTCTTCTTCCAATCCCGTAGTCATATTCTTCTTTATTTAGTTGAATTCCTCAAATTATTTGCTCAGCTCACTGATGAAGTAAGAATGATGAAAGAATACAATCCCGATGCACACCTTTTCTGATTTTAAACCATACAATATCCATTTGTTCTGTTTGAGCAACCTCTTCTTGGTCTATGTACAAGTTCAACATGAGTATAGTTAAGTGTTCTGGAATTCCCATTATTTGCAAAGTTATCTATAATGTGTTATTATCTACATAATCTAATGCCTTTACATAGTCAACAAAACACAGGTAAAGATCTTTCTGGTATTCTCTACTTTCAGCCAAGATCCAGCCAACATAAGCATGTTTACATACCTCATTTTACATCCTCTTCTGAGTTAGGATTGAGTGTCTGGCAATTCCTGGTCTATGTAGAGCTGAAACTAATTTTAAATCATTTTTACAATTTTACTTGCATGTAGTATTAGTGATATTCTTTGATAATGTCTGCATTCTGTTGCATTCTCTCTTTTTTGGACTGGTCCCAATTTTAGATTCCTTCCAGTTGGTTGTCCAGGTAACTATCATCCATACTTCTTGGCATAGACATATGAGTGCTTCTACCATTGCATCATTTGTTGAAACATCACAACTGCTATTGTGTCACTTCCTGGACCATTAATCTTTCACCATGCGCCTTCAGCGCAACTTGGACTTCCTTCGGAATCATCAGTTGATCATGTTCCACCTCCTAAAATGGCTGAATGTTAACTAGTTCTTTTTAGTATAGAGACTTGGTATTCTTTGCATCTTGTTTCAAAGCTTACTGTATTCACTGTTTTACCTGTAGTGATACTGCCCCTTAGGGTTTTCTTGGAAGAGGCCAATTGACACATCTTTCTTGCTTGAAGTAGCTGACAGGTTCAGATTGCCAACTTTTCCATTTGTATCTGAGTGCTTAACCATTGCCCTACAAGGAGGACTTGTGTGGTGTTGTTTCCTTTCTTTCCTTTTTTTTTTATTTTATTTTATTATTTTGTTTGTGTGTACCATCAAATCAGATCCAACTGGTACAGGAGGAGATTGCTCCTCCTTCTCCAACAGAGCATCTGGTGGAGGAGTACTTGTTTTACCCACTAAACCCTTCAGTATTGCAACTGGAGCTGGGAACTACTACTTTGGTTCTTTCACTTAAGAAATGTTAAGTGTTTTCTTTCTTTTTGGTTTTCTCACTGGCAGCTCTGTACTTCAGGATAGATTTTTAAACATTCTGTTTTGACGATGACTGGGGCATCGCTCCTCTCCAGTTTATCATTTCTGGCATTCCTAGTGAAAGTAGTCATAACACCATATATAAACAAATGAATGTGGATGTGTTTCAATAAAATTTTATTTATAGAAACAAACTGCAGGCAAGATTTGGTCTGTAGAAAATAATTTGACTACCTTTTGTTTGTGAGTGAAAACAGGTCAATAAATATTTCCTCTTTTTAAACATTGATCTCTAGTTTGTGTCGAATAAGGAAATTGGATTAGTTGATCCTGCTGTTTCTGTTTTTGTGTCTTGAGTACCTCTTTGAAAGTAGGTCTGTTTCTGTTAATTTGCCTGAATCCAGCTTAAGCAAACGTGTAAGTCAGTAGAGTAGTGTTTCTCAACCTTTACACTATTAATATTGGGAACAAAGAATTCTTTTTGTGTGAGGATTTATTCTGTGTATCATAGAATGTTCAGTACCATCCCTGCCCTCTGTCTAAATGCCAGTAATAACCTTCCTCTCCCCAATAAAATGCTCCCTCTTAAGCCACTCCTGGTTAAAAACTACCATTCTAAAAAAACAAAACAAACCAAAAAACAACAACAAAAAAAACCCCTACCATTCTAGAAACTTTATAGTAACTGATATAAAGCCAAATACCAGCATAACAAAGTATAACTTCTTATACCTACCAACATATTTCTTTGGTACAAGATGAAAATAGGCAAAACCAAAAGCAACAACCAGCTTATTAGAAAAAGAGCAGTGACGATTTTATATACTAAGCCAAAGGGGTTTAGAAATTGGTAGCAGATTGATATTTTTCTTTTCTTGGCAGATTGATATTTAATAGTGATTTAGATAATCTTGTAGGTATTCCAGAGACCAAATAGGGACCTGTCTATAATAGGTGGGTGAAAAAATCACACTAGAAAAAGGGAAACATGGATGAAAAGAAATATAAAGAATAAGAATATTTCACTTTTTCCACTCAGTGAGATGATTCAGGGAAAGGCAGTAGTTAAGTCAGCCAAACCACAGGCTGGGGGAAGAATGAGGTCTCCCTGAGGCTGTGTCTGTTCCTCGGGCAAGAAACCCTTTCTTCTATTGCTTATTGAGATGTCTAGCAGAAAGAATTCATACAGGTTGAATTCATTAGCCCTTGGCTATAAAACTCAGATGTTTCTGTTTTGTTCTATTTCTTTTTTGTCTCTAAATGGATAAATCAAGTGTAAATCATTCCTACAATGGCATATTTTTTTTGGTAGAGAAAATAAATAATGTAGTACAGTGTCATCAAACTTTATAAATGGCTCCTTGAAGCTGGTCCTTTCACAAGCCTGGGTCACATAGCCTACTTGTGATTTACTTACAGTTAAACACCAGAATCCACTCTGTTCAGCAATAAGGTTGTGCTTGGTAGCCATCTACCTTTTATTTAGGCCCATATTATGTCTTTTAAGAATTCGTGACCTTCTAATTTTTAGTAATATTCATCACAGAAACTATGAATATCCAAATAGCTTTGTACAAGAAATTTTGTTTATTTGTATCTGTTTTATTTTATTTCTTATTTTTTATATATTTTCCTTATAATGATTGAACTAAAGTCAGTGTAATTTTTTCATGAACAGTTGTCTAAGAATTCTGGAAACAGATTCTAGTTTCAGACTCCCTTTGATGTGCTTTGTGACTTGACAGGTCTCTTTCTTCTACTGAGCAAACTGGGGTTTTGTCATTTGTAAAATGGTTTTCAAACTCTGATCCTAGACTGGTTACATTGAACTGTCTTTGAAATTTGGAATTCTGATTTCTAGATCCCACCCCAGAATCTGATTCTGTGATCCAGGGTAAGGCATGGAAAGCTGTATTTAAGATCCCCAAGTGATTCCAGTGTGTGGCTGTCTTTGAGATGCTCCCAAATCATCTCTAAGGTCTTTTCAACTGTAAAATGCAGTTGCCTATATGAAATGTATATTCCCCTAATGTCCTTGATTAGAATCTTTTCTGGAAGGTTTCTAGTATTGTGTGTAATAAATAATCAAGAGTAATACATTGCAGGCTTTCTCCTACACACACACACACACACACACACACACACACACACACACAGTTTTTGCATAAAGTTAATTTGCTCAAATATAGTTCGTAATTTAAGATGATAATCCTGATTTCCCAAATACAGTGATAGGAAATGTCTTACCTTATCACTATAATACCCTTTCACAGCTTCATTTTAAATTTTGGATCTGGAAAATAATAAGTAGTTTAATACCCTGATTTCCACATAACCATTAAAGTGGATTAAAATTAGAAATTCTGTCTCATTGTTAATGTCTGTCTGTTTGTTTTTCTTTAATTTACAGAATGCTCTTTACAGTTGCATTAACAGAAATGAAAGTAAGTATATTGTTGAGAGTTATTCAAGCAATTAAAGTAAAACCACTTCCAGAACATGAGTTATCTTTCATGAATACTGCCCGGATCCTGCCATTACAGCACTGTTAGTAAATCATCTGAGTGAATGCGCACAAGAAGATTTTAATAGGCTCTTTTTTCAGGGGTATTTAAGTCATTTTCCACTCATTGCTGTTGAATCAGAACTGACTCATAGCTGACTCTCGTGTGGGTTTTGAGAGGCTGTAAATCTCACAGGAGGAGGTTACCCATCTTTTTCCCACAGAGCAACTGGTAGATTCAAACTGCATGTTTTGGGATTGGTAACATGGAGCCTTACCCATTCGGCCACTAGTATAACAATTCCCATGACCTGCCTGATTAGTACCCGAGGTAGATGGCTGGAGGAATGATACTGAGTCAGAAATACTTGAGGAAGTACTTACCCCACTTAAAATAATTTTCAAATAAGCTCGTCCACATTATATAAAGACTTGCTGAGGGCTGCCTCTCAGTTCATTCAGGAGCATTTATTGAGTGCTGAGCTTGCTTTATATGCAGCAGACACAGATATATGTGGGGGGAAGGGACACATCTATACAGAAGGACTTTAGCACATAGTACATGATAGAAAAGGAGGGAATATCACTGATAAAGTGCTGTAAGAGTTTAGAGAAAGAAGAAATCACTTCCTTAAGGGGTACTTAACAGTGCCTTCCTAGAGTTAATAGCTTACATAGACAAAATGTGAACAATGTTGAACGGAGGAAGGGCATCCCAGGTAAAGACAATAGTGAGAGCAGTTAGTGATAAGGAAACAGATGTGAGGAAAAGAGTTGTTTAGATTAGCTGGCAATATAGGGTATCAAAGGATAATAAGAACATTATCTTTATACTTCTACCTTTCTTAACTTGGACTTTATTCAAGATTTCCCAGATGGTCTCTGAAATCTTATCTGATATCCTCCCATACTGGCAAAGAAGCCAGCTTAATGGTGGAGCCAAAAGATAGGCAACCTTGTCATATTCTTACTTGTCTTTTCTGTCCTTAGCCTCCCTACCCCCAGGTTAATATTACTGAATGTCAGTTTAAACATCGCCATGGATAATTGTTCTTTGTCATGAAAATGATCTCTTCAGCAATGAATATAGAAAGTTTGGTAGTAATCATAAGCCAGAATCTTTTTTTTTTAATTTTTATTTTATTTTTATTATTTTGTGTATGTGTACCGTCAAATCAGATCTGACTGGTACAGGAGGAGATTGTCCCTCCTCCAGCAGAGCATCTGGTGGATTGGAACCTCACACCTCTGGGATTGCAGTGCAGCTTCTTGCCACTAGGCCATCAGAGCTCCCTACAAGCCAGAATCTTAAGTAGCAAAATAGGTGTGCAAGTTCCCTGACCCAGTTCAATCTTAATTTGGTTCACTTGTATATGATTATTTTCATTCTTATTTCTAGCAGTCACCTGATTCTGTTCCTTCCCTATTTGTCTCTAATAATTATCAAGAACTTCCAACCTGACTTCTTCTAAGCCTCTTCTTGCCACACCTCTACCTTCAGCCCCTCATTTTCCCCCCCTAGTTGTGGTAAACATAGAGGTAATCAGACGTTTGCTACAGTCTTTACGTTATACTTCACTGGCATTCATCTCAACCTCTCTTTTAAAGATCTCTTGCTCTTCTCCATTACAAATCCTACATCTTCCTTCTCTACCCACGTATCCAACAACTCTCCCCAGATTCCTTAAACTGCCTTCATTAACTTTTTTAAGTGCATATATCCAGACCCTATTTATATGTGGGTTTTACTTTTCCATATTGAAGCTGGTCATATAAATTGTGAGGTAAAAATTGTCTTAAGTATGTCCTTGGAAGTGTTTAAACAATAGAGAATTTGTATACAAACTTTGGAGATTTTGCTTCAAGATATGCATGCTATTATTTATAATGGTGATTATTATGAAATGAAACATGTATGAGTAACTGAATAAAATACATCTTTTTACCACAATATAATCTGTTAACCACAACCCACCTCCCCCTTCCCTCCCCTAATCAACCAACTCAAGCCCATCACTGCTGAATCAGACTCATAGCTGAGCTTTCAGCGGGTTTTTGAGGCTGTAAATCACAAGGAGGAGATTGTCCTTTCTCTGGAAGAGCAGTTGGTGGATTCTAACCACCAAAGAGGCACTGTCTTTGGATTAGTAGCATAACTCCTATGGGCTTTGCCACCAGAGCTACCCTAAAATACCATTTTTTAAATGGTACAGTAATGTAATCATCAAATAAATGAAACTATGCTATCTAATTTTTACAGATCCTGTTCTCCAAATGGGATACTTTAAAAAATAAATTCCCACAAATCTTATGTATAAAGAAACTTAGTTCACTAGTTCCCAACATGGAAACTGTTGGCGTTTGGGTAGGCAGTTTTGGTTGTTTATGATTGTTGCGTGCATGGCAGGACTTTTAACAGTCCTTAATGTCCATACACAAAATATCATCAGTAGTGCTCAAGTTTTGAGGACAAGAAATACATCCTTGTGAATCTGAATTGTCCTAGGAAGGTGGTACTGCTCATGTTTGAGAACCACTAAACTCTAGACGACAAATAGACAAATAATGACCTTCTCACATCAGTGAGCACCCAGATGCCCCCACTGCTATCCCTTGCAGTAATGCTGATTGATCATAAGTGTTTGTTTTCATTGGTATGGTCTTATTTCTCAAATTCAGAAAGACACATACTGTTCCATCATTATTATGATGATTTAATGTTGACAGGTCACTGTTTCCATTTCAGTGTCATCTATTTTTCCTCCCGCAGTGGGCTCGGTGTGTTGCAGTTATGCAGGTCATCACACAAACTGCCGAGAATACTGTCAAGCTATTTTTCGAACAGACTCTTCGCCTGGCCCATCGCAAATCAAAGCTGTGGAAAATTACTGTGCCGCTATTAGTCCACAGTTAATACACTGTGTGAACAATTACACTCAATCTTATCCAATGAAGAACCCAACAGATAGTAAGTAAAAGAGAGGTATCTATCCCATTTCCATCTTTGGTGAGGAGGTCAGTTCTTGTAGGTATGTGTCATCTGAGTCAATGGGCAAATAGTCTTTCTTTGGTGTTTAGATTTGGTAGATTGGACATCACTGTCACAGCTAATAGATGCCAAGAAAACCTGGAGTTGTTGAAGGTGTAGAAATGAGCACTCTCTGTACTGGGGCAGGAAGATTTGATTGGTACAGAGTTTTTAGAGGGGAAATTAGAAAACTAACCATTAAAATTTAAGTAATCATATTTGGTTTGGAATTTCCATTATCCTGCAAGAAAGCTTACAAAATTGTATTCCAGATATGCATCCAGCTTATAAAAATAGAATAAGCCTTTGAAGAATTTATAAAATTTATTATAAAAATATAAAAATGAGAATCCTATAAACCAAAAAAAGCCCAATATCCTCTTTGATCAGGGCTCATCCAGACCATGTGGATGGACCATATGGGGCTCTTCAGTCTAACCTTTGGGTGGGTCCTGCAGTTTATTTTCATCATATAAAGATGACCTAACTTGAGAACTATAGGAGCCAGACTGGGCATCCTAAATATTTTTTAATTTAAAGAGTCTTACTGAAATGACTATATATTGCTCTTTTTTGTGCAAACAATTTGGATAATAGCCTTTAAACATTCTGGTGTAAAAGGGGCGCCCTTTTTACTAGTCTAGCTCCTTCTGGTAATTTTTTATTATTGTTAAATGCTCAATGGAGAGTACAATTTATTTCTCAATTGGAAAAATAAAATCAAAAGAACTCAAGAAAATGGTTTTAAACTCTTCTGAATTCTGAATTTTGGTTAAAGGTATTCTTTGATGATTCCTTGTAGAAAACAAAAGGCAGAAATAAGCTATTATCCTAGGAGGGTATGAAATTGTATTATAAACAGTAAAACCTGCAAAATATGGAACCTGTGTGAGGAAGAACTCTGTCAGATAAGGAAAGCTCAAGAATTTTTCACTAATAGAAAAATTCAAAAGAACTTGGCTGCTGTCAAGTTCAATGATAGAAGTGTATGAAAACTACCCTGTCAAAGGCATATAACTTACAAGACCTGAAAAAACATGGCAATCCCACCAAGTTCTGGCTTTCACAAAGTTTCACTGTAATAACAGTTGTGTTTGGTTAATTAACTTACCCAGACTTAAGAAAGCTTTACTCTGCCCTAGCATGATGAAATATGAAGCTTGGGGGAGTTGCTATAGAAATTAGTCATCATTCTCATACTGAGAATGTAATTCCTTTTACACTGTTATTTGTATCAAGGAAATAAGTTTATTTTGATCAACACTCTTGGCACCTGCAGCCAGGAAATTTATAGATGTATTGCATTAGAAAAGTCTGCTGTCAGAGACCTTTCCAAAGTCCTAAAGAGCAACAGTGTCAGTCTGGAAACTAAGGTGAACCTGATACAGGTCATAGTCTTTGCAATAACTTGCTATGCATCAGAGAGCTGGATAATGACTAGATGATAGAATGAAGAATGATAGAAGGAGAATTTATGCCTTTGAGCTGTGGTGTTGGAGAAGAATGTTGACTATACCATGGACTGCTAGGAAAACAAACAAGTTTGTCCTGGAGAGGATGAGACCAGGCTGCTCCCTGGAGGCAAAGATTCTGAAGCTTCCTCTGACATACTTTGGACATGTTGCAAGGAGGGACCAGTCCTTGGAGAGGGATGTCATGCTTGGGAGGGAGAAAGGACAGCACAGGAGATGAAGAGCCCGTTGATTCAGTGTCTGGAATGATGAGGTAAGTGTGTCAGAGACAGTGAGATTGGCACAGGATAGAGCTGGATTCAGAGCTGTTGTATATAGGGTCGCTATGAGTCACAGGCAATTCGATGGCACATAACAATACCTTTTCCAGTTATATAAAATAACCTCATCTATAAGGGCTTTGTTGGTATAGGAGGTCCTGGAATTCATGCAGTAATGTGCTAGAGATCCCATGATTGGGGATGATGACAAAGTGTAGTAGTAAATACCAGGTCCTGCTCTAGCTCCTCACCTGTGCACTACACTACAAAATAATGACGAGAGAATTCTGTAGGCCATATACACTGCAGATACTGACTCCATGACTCAGTAGCAAAGGTTCTGAACGTATTTTTTTCCTCTTAGTAGTACATAATATAAACCCAGCTAGTTAAACATACCCATGTATGTTTTTAATCTGTAGGTTTGTATTGCTGTGATAGAGCTGAAGATCATTCTTGCCAAAATGCCTGCAAGAGAATTTTGATGTCTAAGAAAACAGAAATGGAGATTGTTGATGGCCTCATTGAGGGCTGTAAGAAGCAGCCCTTGCCTCAAGATCCACTTTGGCACTGTTTTCTTCAAGGCTCACTATCTCATCACCCTGGAGTCACTGCACACCCTCCTCCCTCCACAGGCCTTGATGGGGCTAAGTTACATTGTTGTTCTAAAGCAAACACTTCAACCTGTAGGTCAGTATCTTATTTTCCTTTGTTAAAAATGGTTGAAAATGGCATTTTCCTCTTACTGTAGTTTGAATGAAAGTTAACAAAGCATATTAATTTTTTATTCAACCATTCATACATATTTTAGTCCACAACATAAATTTCTATACCCACAATGAAATCACTCTTTCCACTTTCTCACTATAATTCTAAATTCCATTAATCCTTCTGTGCTTCTCTGTGTTGTCCCATTCTTCAGTGACATTGTATGTATCATTCCCTTGTTACATATTGCCTTTCCTTTCACCCATTTTAACATGTATCTGTTAACGATTTACTGGTTTTTACCTTTCCTTTCTAACCATCCCTGGTAACTATCCAAGAATTATTTTATTTATGTGTAAACCTTTCATTAGCTCTTTTTAAAAAAAATTTGTATTACTGTTTTTGTGTGTGTACTGTCAAATCAGATCTTACTGATACAGGAGGAGATGGTCCCTTCTTCTCCAGCAGAGCATCTGGTGGATTCAAACCGCGCACCTCTGGGATTGCAGTGCAGCTTCTTGCCAGAGCTCGCCTCATTAGCTTTTTTTTTTTAATTTATTATTAATTTCAATGAAAATTTACAGACTTTGGATTTACAAACATACAGGATGCCAATGCCCATCTTTCTTCTGTGGGGAAATTGGGAGATTCGAACTGCATGCTTTCAGGATTGCAGTGCAGTTTCTTACCACTAGGCCACCAGCTTGTAATAAATAGTAGTTGTTGTTTTGTGCCATCAAGTTGTAACTGACTCACAGCTGACCCTCCAGCAGGTTTTTAGAGGCAGTAAATCATACAGGAGGAAACTGCCCATGCTCCCACTTTATAATAATAGTTCTATACAATATTTGCTGGTTTTTTACTTACTTACTTACTTACTTTCACTCAGCATAATGTTCTCTAGATGCATCCATGTTATACTGTCCTCAAATTCTTCATCATTTTTCATTGTTGCTTAGAAATTATGGTACATTCACACAATGGAAAATAGCATTTTTATTAGTGATTTTTAAACCTAGCAAATATATATTGTATTGCATCATGTCGGTTTAGAGTTAAAAAGATTGAGAATTTTATTTCATTCTTTCATTCACCAAGTATATACTGATTCAGTGTTTTTATACATTAACTACAAAAAAGTTTTATGTGTTGGGGTTTGAGACAAAGGTGAGGAAGATATTGGGTCTAAGGCCTTCTGATTTACTTTAATGCAGGTAAAAGAGAGATTTGAGGAAATAATTTGATCAAGAACAAAGGATATGTAAATCCTCTGTTTGAACATTTACATTTAGCACTGAACTGTCTAGCAACCATGGCAAAGGGAGAAGAGATGACTGACAAAAATAGACTGTTTTCCATGAAAAGGTTGAGTTATTCTGGCTTTAATTTTAGAAGATTTATCTTAGTCTTTTAGGGTTTTGTTTTGTCTTTTTTTCCTTATTTATACTCCAAAGTGTAGTTAACAGTTAAAGTTTTATGCAAATCAGATACTCATTTGGCTCATCTCTGTGTCTGCATTTGTGCTTTTCTTTCAGGGAACTGTGCACTAAACTATATAGCATGAGCTGGGGCAATACACAGAGTTGGCAAGAGTTTGATCGCTTTTGTGAATACAATCCAGTGGAAGTATCCATGTTGACTTGTTTAGCAGATGTTCGGGAACCTTGCCAGCTGGGCTGTAGAAATCTTACTTACTGTACTAATTTCAACAACAGGTAGGAGCAAGTTATTGTGTCTGCAATAGAGATATTTTATCATTAATTATTTTATTTAAAAAAATAACAATTTACCCCAATTTTGTTCCTGCTAGATTAAATGAACAATATTTCTTTTTTTTGTTTGTTTTTAATCTGTATTTTCAATTATTTATTCATTGCAAATACCTTTTTTTTAATTGAGGTTTTAATGAAAGTTTATAGAGAACTTGAATTTCCATTAATTCATTGTTGCACATTTTCCTCCCTGCCCCATGAACAATATTCCTTTATGATTTCATCTTTAAATTCTGTAATCTGTCTAGTATATCACCTAGAGATGAAGCATTGTTAACCTAGAGATAACTTGAGCTTCTAGAATCCTAAGAACCTGCCATTCTTCTCTCCCTTCTACTCTACTACCAGTGGATACAAATCATTGCAGAATAAATCATTGTGACCTATTTGATTATCCACTGTGTTCAGTTTGTTTTTAAGAACCTTCAGACTGAACAGCTGGTATTTATTTTGTAAAAGAAAGTAAATGAGAAAGTGTCCCTCCAGAACATTTTTAAGTTCCAAACTGTCTCACAAAACTTGTTTTGAAAAAAAAAAAACAAAACCCCATGCTGTTGGATTTTTAGGCCAGGAATCACATAGAGTCTGCATATGATTCGAAGCTGGTATCTTTCAATGGATTGTATATGCTTTCTCTTTTAAGACAATTACATTTCCTTGAAGTGTTCATATGTCAGGATTTATCCATTCTTAAAAAAGAATTGCCTTTTGATTCCTTCTGGCCTTTTTTCTCTTTAGACCAACAGAACTTTTCAGGAGTTGCAATGCTCAATCTGATCAAGGAGCAATGAATGACATGAAGCTGTGGGAGAAAGGAAGCATAAAGATGCCATTTATAAACATTCCCGTTCTTGACATTAAAAAGTGCCAGCCAGAAATGTGGAAAGCAGTAGCTTGTTCACTGCAGATTAAACCGTGTCATAGTAAATCCCGGGGCAGTATTATTTGCAAGTAAGTTTCTTTCATCAGAATGACTCTAGTTTTGGTTCAGACCCTTTATGATCTACCCAAAGCCTCTCTTTGCTCATTGCTTCTTACCCGTTATTCCTATTTGCCAAAATGCTTTGCACTTTTTGTCTCCTGCTTCAAATACCCTTTCCTTCATTTCCACTTCCCGGTGTCCTGCCTGTCATTCCTTTCCCCTCCCAAATTCAAGTTATTCCTGATCTTCTGAGATTTCTGAATTGATAGAAGTTTATCATTCCTATAGAATTGTATATGTACTTAATAGGTACTTAGTTCACAAAACATTTATTGAGTAACTTAGATGTTTAGCTCAGTTTTGTTTTTGCAGTCTGTATACTTACATTCTCTGTTAGACTTGCTCACTTTGATGATTTTTCTGTTTTTTACACCTTGTTTTCCTATTGTTGTATCCCCTTTCCTTATTTTCTCCAGGAAGTCATATCCCTGACACTCAGTAACCCATGAAAACTAAACCCATTGCCATCTGTTGGCTCCATCACATAGTAACCCCCTGAGGCATAATAGCACGTGCTGCAGAGGGTTTCCAAGGCTGAAAATGTTTATCCAGGAAGACTGCTGCATCTTTCTTCCTGGGAGTGGCTTGTGGGTTCAAATCTCCACTCTTTCAGTTAGCCGTCAAATGCTTAATTTCTTGTGCCACCAGTGTTCCTTCTAATACACAATAAGTATTCCATAGAATGAATGAAGGAATTACAGTACCAAAAAAAAACCCACAGAAAAGGAAAATAAGAAAGCAATACCATTTACAACAGCCAACCATAATTTGAGATACTTAGGAATAAACCTAACTAGAAATACAAAAGACCTTAACAAAGAAGACTGCTAAACAGTTCTTCAAGAAACCATAAAAGACCTAAGTAAATGGAAATATGTTCCCTGTTCATAGGAAGAGTCAATATAGTGAAAATGACAATCCTGCCAAAAGCAACCTACATAAGCCATCCCAATACAGTTACTAAATTTATTTTTCAAAGAGATAGAAAAGGCAATTGGCAAATGGAGGAGTTAATGAATATAATTATTAGCACTTGTTCCTAATAAGCATCTGTGAGTGGTGTATTTAGGAAATCTAGAACGTAAAGATGGAAAGCCGGGACTGGGATGAAACTTCAACAACAGACTACTAGTATTCTGTCAGCCTCTCTTCAAAGATCTTTTTTCCTTAGAAAGCTTTTCCAAAATCAACTTCATATACAGCTTTAAGCTGTTAACACAGAGTGTTGCATGTTGGGCCGCTAATCCTAAAGATTAGGTTCAAGTCCATAAGCAGCTCCATTGGAGAAAAGTGGGCAGGAACCACTTACAAAGCCTTGGAAACATGATAGAGTATAGTTCTTGAGTCAGAACTACTAAATGGTAGCGGATTTGGTTGTTTTTTAACACCGTCAGTATATGCCTCAATGGTGCTGGGTTCTTGATAACTGTAGATTGTTTCAACCTTAAAGTCCAGACCTCTTACCTGAGATGATTAGAGTATGAGATTCTATAGGGTAGCTAACTGTTAAGTAGCAAGCCGGGGGCGGTGGGGGGCAGAAATTTATAGACTCTGTTAGCATGGAAAGGAGCCCCAGTGACATAGAGCATAACATATTAGGCTGCTGATAAAGTCAGCAGTTCAAATCCACCAGCTAGTTCATAAAAAAAAAAAAAAAAAATAAGTATTCTCCTGAGAGGAATTACAGCCTTGGAAACCTGCTAGTTCATTTCTATGAGTCAGAATCGACTCAATAGCAGTGATACTACTTGTCATGCTACTAAACAGAAGGTTGGAAGTTTGAATCCATTATGTGCTTAAAGCCTCAAAAACCTGATGGAAGATTGTGATGGGTCAAAAGACACAGATGAGGGTTCAGATCCTTATTAAAGACTGAGTAAAATTTTAAGTAGTTGACAGTCAGGTTCTTAGTAAGGACTTAAACATTTGTTGATAACTAAAAAGTATTTTTTTTCTAAAAAGTGTTTTTTAAAAAGAAAAAGGCCGGCATAGAGTCCTGGTAGTCATATGTGTGATTTTGCAAAGATTTTTTTTTCAAATGGCTGGAAAGCCACTTTGACAGTAATAACAGAAAGGCCTTTGACCTCAGATAAGATGCTTTAATAGTTTAAGTGAAATATATTGCTTATTACTCAGTCTGGAGTCCATTACTACTCCTGTTCTTTTTTTTTTTTTCAACATTGAGCAGCAATTTTTTTTTTATTAATTTTAATGAAAGTTTACAGAGACTTTGAATTTCCATTCATTCATTGTTGCATTTTTCTCCCTACCCACCCCTCCCCCACAGTTCGCTCTTCTCTTTGTAAAGTAAAAGAAAAATTCTTTCATTGTTATACAATCCCTTCCCCCAAGTCCACTCCAGTATGCAGCCTTCATTCTGGACTCCTGTCATGACAATAATACCTAGTCATATATCCCTTTTCAACAGTTCTCTCCATCTGTTTCAATGCAGTATACATAACTTACCCCATCTTTCTCAGTCTCCACCCAAAACCAATATCAGTCCCTTTTTATAAGAGTGGCACTATGCAGTATTTGTCCTTTTGTGACAGAGATATTTCACTCAGCATAATGTCTTCCCATTTTGTATAATATTTCATGTGTTCCTTGTTTTTCAATGCAGCGTAGTATTCCTAAACCAATTGTGAAACATCTCTAAGATATGAAAATTCACTTCTGGAAAGCTTCAGAATCAGAATTGAAGGGGAGCTCTGGTGGCCTAGTGGTAAGGAGCTGCAACTACAATCCCAGAGGCACACGGTTCGAATCCACCAGATGCTCTGCCGGGGAAGGAGGAACAATCTCCTCCTGTACCAGTCAGATCTGATTTGACGGTACACTCACACAAAAATAATAAAAAAATTTAAAAAAAAAAATAAGAATCTGAATTGACTAGACAACATGAGCAAGTCCCTTAAACCCTAAATTTCAGTATATCTTTCTTTTCAAGATCGGATTGTATAGAAATTCTCAGGAAATGTGGAGACCAAAACAAATTTCCTGAAGACCACACAGCTGAAAGTATTTGTGAGCTTTTATCACCTACAGACGACCTGGAAAATTGTATACCTTTGGATACATATCTCAGTAAGTATATTTTCTTTTCTTTTAAGATTCCAATTACTTCTTTCTTCTGTCTCTCTGCCCATGATGTTTATTTTGGATAAGCATCTATCCGTTACAAGCATATGGTTTAATACAGTCGCAATCAAAGACCCTTAACTTATTTGCTTGGCCTTTTTAGTTCAGGACATCAATGTCATAAATGTATAGTACGTGATTATAACTTTTACTTTTCACTTTAAATCTTTTGTCTTGGCTCTTGATTAAGACATTTTTAAAAAAAATTTTTATTTAAAAAAAATTTTATTAAGAAATCTTAAGACTAAGAAAGGACACAGAATAACTATTCGAAACTTGTTTCGTGTTATAACAGTTGAGGGAGGTAGTAAATTATTGTCAGTAAGGAATTCTAAGCAGTGAATATATTTTTATATAACCAGTTCTGCATCATTGTTGTCTCCTTGCTATTATTTGACCAGCCAGTGGAATTTCCCCCTAGAGAATCTTCAGCTTTTTGTCCTCAGCATGTTAGTGGAACTGATCCAGGTATTAGCTTGACTTACCTTCCAAATAACAAGTAAGGTATAATGGCCAGGGTTGGTACATGAAAATTGAACCTATCATGCTGCTGCTTTCTGCCAAATACTCCTGCCAAGAGCTACAAGAATAAGTTGAATCTAAGCTTCCTTATTAGCAGCAAAGCAAGTAACTATGTGTGGTAGAAACTAGAGGACTTCCACACCTTAAGCTCATGAGCCCTCAAATTATACCAGTTAGGCTTAAGCTACCACCAGAGGACATTAATGCCATAAATTGGCTGGAAAGTCACTGAGTTCAGTTTCTACTGCTTTTTCCTGGTAGGAATTAAGTCAAATAGGATTAGTCTGCTTGCATGTAAGAGAACAAAATATAAATAAAAGAAAATCCAGGGGTAAATATTCCAGGCTACTCTGATGACTCCATTGATCTCAGGAAGCCAGATTCTTTGTTTTTTCTCTACCATCCTTAACATTTGATATTTGTCATAAAGTTTACTTCATCATTACAGTATAGCTGTTGGAGTTCCAGCTACCATATCAGAGGTCTAGACAATAAAAAAATAAATAGGGAGAACAAACAACTTCTAATCTCTCTGGCTACTTCTAGCCTCTACTTGTAAGGGATACTGGAAAAGGTTGATCTATTGCCACTCTAAATAAAATTTATGAGGCTACTTCTCTCCTTGAATGTAAACACCATGACCTAGGACTTATTTCTTGTTTACCATTGCATCTCCAATGCCTTCAACTTTTTCTGGCAGTGTAGTAGGTACTCAGTAAATAAACACATGAAGGTATGCCTGTTTATGCTAAACGCAAAGTGATCAAAGAATTTGGCTATTTGAACAGCTTACTAAAACCAGACCTCACTTTTATGCTCATGAGCTCTCCAATTACTCTGGCTGTAATTCAGAAAACTGACAGAACTCTGTTACTTTTTAGGTGGACTAATTTTTTTTTTCATCTCAGGGCCAAGTACTTTAGGTAACATTGTAGAAGAGGTAACTCATCCCTGTAACCCAAATCCTTGCCCTGCTAGTGAGCTCTGCGAGGTCAACAGAAAAGGATGCCCATTTGGAGATCCCTGCCTTCCTTACTCTTGTGTTCAAGGTAAGAGGTAGTGTGTGTGGATATGGGATGAGTGCAGATAGTTCTGCATGTTTCTCTTTGGAGTGAGGCTACAACGCATTTTATCCATCATTTCTGCAATGTTTGAGGTTTTTCCGTATAAACATGTCTTATTGGGAAAGCAGAAAAAAAGCTTTTAAAAAGGATAACTGTGATCATCTGAGGGACACCCACTCTTGAGGGGAAAAGAGCAATAATACACATAAAAAACAACCCCTAAAAGAAGCACAACCCCAAAAACTTCCCTTTACTTGCCCATCCGGACCAGCATCCACAAGCATAAAAAACCACATGCCCCTGGAAACTCAGCTTGGTGAAATGACGACAGTTATGGAAAGGCATTTTGTTCATAGAGTTGCTATGAGTCGCACTCGACTCGACAGCAATCAACAACAACAACAACTATAATCTTCAGTTGTCATTTAGATTGTAAACTAAAAATATCAATTCATAGTTTGACTCTCTTAATGAGTTTTAGGATTACTGACTGCAAGAAAAAGAGCACATTGAATCAGTGTCTTGTCTTTTTCTTCCTTACAGTAATGCTTGAGAAAATGCCCTGTTCATTTGGGTTTTCTTATGCTTTTCTCCTTTAGTGGATGGAGAAATTATAAACTCAGTCATTGTGTGCCTTCGAGTCAGAACTGACTCCAGCAGGTTTTCAGAGGCAGTAAATCACATGGGAGGAGATTATCCATACTTCTTCTGCAGAGCAGCTGGAGGATTCAGACCTCAAACCTTTAGGATTGCAGCACAGCTTCTTACCATTAAGCATCAGTAAGATGGATAAATGCCTACATGAAAATTGGTATTGTGTTTAAATGCAGATAATCTTTAAGACAGAAAAATATTTTTCTTTTAGACTTTTGATAGTCTGTATCTCTCTGGGTCCTTTAAGGGTAATCTTTTACTTTCTTTTATTCATTTCACAGTTGAAAATCATTATCTTTCAATATCTTTGAAAGAAAAAGGAGCAAAAAGTTAAATAAACATGTTGTCTCAGGTCATCTATAATATTTTTTACCTAACCATATCACCTATGGAGTTATAATAAGCCTATTAAAACTGGAACTGCCTTTGAGTGTTTTGAATTTCCTGATAGTATTTTATCTTTGCATTCTAATTTTGCCTGTATTTTCTTTGGCAAAGAAAACAAGACATATTTGTTTAAAGTAATGACATCATGTTCTTTCAATATGGAAATCAATTTAGAATTTTCTTATTTTGTTATAAGTACAAAACTCACCACCGGGTCAGTTGGCAACACAGTGTTGAGTGGAGAATAGATTGAGGTTGTTAACAATTACAGCTTGCTCGGCTCCACAGTCAACACTCTTGGCACCAGCAGTCAGGAAATAAAAGACAAATTGCATTAGTGAAATCTGGTATCAGAGACCTCTTCAGAGTACTGAGAAGCAACAGTGTCTGTGAAGAGACTAGGATGCGCCTGATCCAGGCCATGGTCTTTGCAATTACTTAATGCATCAGAGAGCTAAATAATGACTACGGAGGACAGAATAAGAATTGATGTTTTTGAGTTGTGGTGCTCGAGAAGAGTTTTGAACATACCATAGACCTCAAAGAAAACATATAAGTCTGTTTTGGAGAGAATGAAACAAAGTTTCTCTTTAGAGGCTAGGATTTTAAAGCTCTGTCTTACTTTGGTCATTTTAGCCAGGAGAGGCTGCTCCTTGGAGAAGTACATCGTGCCTGAAAGGATAGAGGGACAGTGCAGGAGAGAAAGACCCTGGATGAGACGGATTGATACAATAACTAGGGCAATGGGGGTAGTTGTGTCGGATCAGTAAGACTGGCTCAGGACAAGGCAAGCTTCAGATCTGTTGTACAGAGGGTCACTATGAGTCACAGGTGACTCACAGCACATAACAACAACAAAGAAACTCCAATTTGTAATAAGATGTTGTTGTTGTTGTTGTGTGCTGTCAAGTCACTTGTGACTCATAGCGACCCTATGTACAAGAACCTTAAATCCTGCTCTACCCTGTGCCAACCTCATTGTCTCTGACAATCCTACTCCCACCACCTCAATCACTAAATTGATCCGTCTTATTGAGGATCTTCCTCTCCTGCACTGTCCCTCCACTCTCCCAAACATGATGTCCCTCTCCAAGCACGGGTCAGTCCCTCCTTGCAATATGCCCAAAGTATGTCAAATGAAGCTTCAGAATCCTTGATACCAAGGAGCAGCCTGACTTTAAACTATCCAGGAAGAACTTGTTTGTTCTCCTAGCAGTCCATGCTATATTCAACACACTTCTCCAGCACCACAGCTCAAAGGCATCAATTCTCTTTCTATCATCCCTAATCACTGTCTATCTCTCCCATGCATAGCACACAATTGCAAAGATTATAGCCCGGATCAGGCACACCTTGGTCTCTAGCCTGATGTCGTTGCTCTTCCGTACTCTTGAGAGGGTCCCTGACAGCTGACTTTCCCAGTGCAATTCGTCTCCTGATTTCCTGGCTGCTGGTACCAAGAATGTTGACTATGGAGCCAAGCAAACTAACACTGTTAACTATCTCAATTTCTTTACCATGAATACTGATGCTGCCAATTGGCCCAGTCGTGAGAATCTTTGTTTTCTTGATATTGAGCTTCAATCCGTACTGAAGGCTGCAGTCCTTGACCTTCTATAGGAAGAGCTTCAGGTTCTCCTCAGTTTTAGCAAGCAGGGTTGGATCATCTGCATAACGCAGGTTGTTGATGACTCTTCCACCAATCCTGATGCCACATTCCTCCTCATACAGCCCAACATCCCAGATGATCTGTTCTGCATACACATTGAAAAGGTATGGAGATAGAATACATCCCTGGCAGACCCCCTTCCCAATTTTTAACCATGCAGTGTCTCCTTGCTCTGTTCTGATGACTGCCCCTTGGTCCAAGTATAGGTTTCACATAAGCACAATCAAATGTTCTGGGATTCCCATTCGAAGAGTCAAGCATAGTTTGTTGTGATCCACACAGTCAAAAGCCTTTGCATAGTCAGTGAAGCACAGGTAAACATTGTCTTACAGCATTTTTGTGCTTGACTATTGCTAGTTTTGAGGTACAGGTCCTCGATCATCACTATCTCACAGGCCATAGAATTTTTATTTTAAGGCATGTATTTTTTGACAAATGGGTAAAGGCAATATTACTAAGTTGATAAAAGTTCTGGCACATAATCTTTATTTTTATTTTTTATTTTATTTTTTTTTAATTATTTTTGTGTGCGTGTACCGTCAAATCAGATCTGTCTGGTACAGGAGGAGATTGTCCCTCCTTACCCAGCAGAGCATCTGGTGGATTCGAACCGTTCACCTCTGGGATTGTAGTTGCAGCTCCTTGCCACTAGGCCACCAGAGCTCCCCTCTGGTACATAATCTTTAATAGCCACATGTTACCTATAAGATTTTTGTAAAGTAAATCTAATACCATAAAGCAATGCCACCTATCTCAGCTAATCTTTGTTCGTACAGGTTGCAAATTGGGGGAAGCTTCTGATTTCGTTGTCCGTCAAGGAACATTGATCCAAGTGCCATCATCTGCAGGGGAAGTTGGTTGTTACAAAATTTGCTCCTGTGGACAAAGTGGACTTTTAGAAAACTGTATGGAGATGCACTGTATAGACCTCCAGAAGTCTTGTATTGTTGGAGGAAAAAGAAAAAGTGAGTGTTGAAACATTCCTTATTTATTTTTGGCTTTAATATTAGATGGCATCTTAACTTTTTACAAAGAACATTGGATAGATTCTTCTCAAAGAGTAAAGTTTACAAATCAAATACTTCAGGACATTATTTTTCAAACTATATAATTCTAGGATTTCTAAGGGACTCTCTTAAGAAGATACTACAAACTTATAATAGTTAATGGACTAAAAGTTAACTTTTTGGACTTTAACCATGTTATGAGCATTATGATAAGTTTCTGCTACATTATCTCATTTTATCTTCCACTTAGCATTAGATAGTAAGTACTATTATCCTCATTGGAGGTCTGGCAGAATAGATTGTCTTTAGGGAGTTGCTGAACTTCTGTAGACATTCAAATCTGCCAGCAATTTCGCGGGCAAAAGATGAGCACCCTTCTTCCATATGATTCACGGCCTCAGAAACCCAGTGATGGGTCTATTATGAGTCAATTCCGACTCAACAGAAAAGAGTGTGACGTGTTGTGTGGGTTTATTGTTTGTTTTTAAGTTATGCATCCTGCTTCACAGACAAGATGATGCTTAAAGGGACTTACAGCAAATAAATGATATAAGTGGGGTTCAGTACTGCCAAAAGAACAAACAAATATGTCTTGGAGGGGGTACAGCCAAAGACAATGAGGCTTCACCTGACATACTTTTGGTATGTTACTAGGAGGGACTAATCCTCGAAGAGGGACATGATGCTTGGAAAAATAGAGGGTCGACAAAGAAGAAGACCCTTAACCAGGTTAATTGACACAGTGACAGCTGCAGTGGGATTGAACGTGTCAGGAAGTGTGAGGATGGCACGGGATAGGACAGGGTTCAGATCTGTTGTTCAGGGGGTCACTATGGGTCATACTCAACAGCACCTAACAACAGTTTGACTCCAGTGTCCATGCTCTTCAAAACCTAGACCACCTCTTGCTCACCTCTCCATCCTTACCCCACCCATTCCCTCCACCATCACACACATGCACAAACTTGGAATTTAATATCATAGAGAACAAACTTCATATTGGAAACCACACCATTGATTGAGTTGAAACAAAGCACATTAACAAGTGCCACCCTTTGATCACCTTCTCTAAGAGTCTTAGAGTCTTGATTCTCCACTTCTTCCTTAACCATCTCTTATTTATAGCCTTAACAACTCAACTCACATACTGCCACATCAACTAGAGTAGTTTAGCTTTTGTATCCTTCTTTGTCTACTTTTCTGTGTGAAATCTCATTGGAAAGAAGAATACTTTTGGCAGACAATAGCTTGCAAACTTCTGCCATAGAGCAAGTTAAGTATTTGTTTCTTAGTTTACTTGTGGAGGTAAGGTACCTTGAATCAGAAAATAGCTAAGAATAAACAAATTCATTTCTTCTATAAATTTCCATAGCCTGTTTAGCAACATGCAAATAATCCCCCAATATAACAGACTGACAGATAAATGCTATACCTCTAAAGAGCAAACCGTAATGACACTCGGGCATACAGATATCATAGCAAAGGGCACTCTTTTCTGGCCCTAGCTGAGGCCTGGGACAGCATGACAGGGTAGGGTCCTGGATGGAGGTAATTGACACAGACAGTGGCTCAGGCTGATCTTTTATGCTGATGTTTGAATACTGAAGATCAGTGATGTCACTTTGAAAAGTAAGGTGCATCTGATTCAGGGCATGGTCTTTTCAATCACTTACTAAGCATCTGAGAGCTAAATAGTGATTAAGGATGACAGAAGAAGAATTGATGCCTTTGAATTGTCGTGTTGGAGAGAAGTACTGAATATCCATGGACTGCAAAAAGGACAATCAGATATGTCTTAGAAGTCCAGCCAGAATGCTCCTTGGAAGCAAAGATGGTGACACGTCATCTCTCATACTTCTGGCATGTTTCTAGGAGATGCTATTCCTTGGCAAGGAATATAATGCTTGGAATGGTGGAGGGTCAATTAAGGTGAGGGAGACCCTCAATGGGACGGATTGACACAGCGACTACAGCTTCGAGCTCAAATGTGTCAGTGATGATGAAAATACCACAGAGCAGGGCAGGGTTCAAATCTGCTGTTCATAGGATCTCAGTCATACTTGGTGGCACCTAAGAACAACAAAGGCATACTGTGTACAAAAGAAAATGCTAGTATTTATTGTATAGACCCAATACTGAGAGTGCAGACTGTGGTCATACTTCACATGATAGGATGAAAAAGAACATGAGCCACAGGAAGGAACAGATTGCATGTTCTTCTGGAGTTACTCATTCCTGTCAGGGCATCAGGAAAGTATTTGGCCCAAATGTGGCATCAGGACTGGAGAGGTGAAGAAAATTCTGGAAGGTGGGAACGAGCAGTCCAGGCAGAGGAGCAGATCAGAATGTTCTCAGAGGATAGAGTGCAGTCTGGTGAGACTAATGCGTTAGAAATTTTAATAATACATTTGAATAATAATTTGACCAATACATTAAAATACATTCATACTTACTGCCATCGAGTCAATTCTGACCCATAGTGACCCTGTAGGACAGTATAGAACTGCCCACAAAGTTTCCAAGGCTGTGGTTCTTTACAGAAGTAGATTGCCTTATTGTTCTCCTTTGGAGAAGCTTGTATTGTTATGTACCGTGAGTCAGAAGAGATTTCATAGGTGACCCTCTAGTGAGTTTTCAGAAGCTATAAATTGCACTGGAGGAGATTGCCCATCCTTATCCTGTTGAGCAGTTGATGCATTCAAACCTTGTGCATCTGGGTTGACAGTGCAGTTCCTTACCACTGCAGCCGCGACATCAGTCTGTCTTAGTGAGAGTCGTTCTCTTTCTTACTTCCCTCCACTATACCTACCTAGCATGATATGTTTCTTCAGGGGCTGGTCCCTCCTGATAACATCCCCAAAATTCGTGAGATGAAGTCTCTGTCCTCACCTCCAAAGAGCATTCTAATTATACTTCTACCAAGATTTAATGGTCTCCGGAACTTTTATAGTCAGAAATAATTTTTCAGGAATTTTCTTTTAAAACTTTTTAACCTATTACATAATTGTTATTTCTAAATATAGATCAACATTTTATTTCCATTTCTTTTAGGTCATGGAACATCCTTTAATATTGACTGCAATGTCTGTTCTTGTTTTGCTGGTAATTTGGTATGTTCTACCCGCCTCTGCCTCAGCGAGCATAGTTCAGAAGATGACCATCGCACTTTCACAGGTAACCTGGATTGTCGAGATTCTGTCCTCAGTGACCCTCATTGAGCCTGTTTTTTTTTTCCTGTGAAGCTCAGTTTTCTGATTTTGACTAATTGGGGGAGCGCTATTAAGTGCCATCAAGTTGATTATAACTCACAATGACGCTATGAACAATTGGTCTGATCCCTGTGCTATCATGTGCCCATCCTCACCATCTTTGACGCACTCGAGCCCACTGTTACAGTCACTGAAGGAATCCATCTCATTGAGCATCCCCCTCCTTCACTGATCCTCCTTCTTTCCAACACGGAGTCCTTTTCAAAGGACTGGCCCCTCCTAACAAAATTCCCAGAGTATCTGAAAGGATGTTTCACTATCCTTACCCCACGGAGTTCCCTGGCCAGGACATATGTGTTTGTCCTTTTGGTAATCTGAAGGATATCCAGCTCTCTCCTCCACCTCCACAACTCAATGGCATCCTTGTTGGTTATCCAATTTTCAGATGCATAACAAGTAATTGAAAAGCTTATGTTTGAATCAGGTGCACCTTGGTCATCAAACTGACATCTTTGCTTCTCACCACTTTGGAGAGCTCCCTGACAGCAGACTTTGCCAATGTTGTATGCCTTTTGATTTCCTGGTTGCTAGTGAGTGCCAAGGATGTTTATTGTGGATCCAAGCAAGATCTGGTCATTGAAAATTTCTGTCTTTTCTTCATCTGTCATGATATTGCCTATTGACTTGATGGTGAGGGTGTTTGTTGTCTTTGATCCTCTGCAGCAAGTCCTCTTCACTTCCTGCAAGCAAGGTTGTCATTTGTACAACACAGGTTATTGATGAGTCTTCCTCAGATTCCGATGCCACAGGTATTATGAAGGAATGTGCAAAGAGCTAAAGTTGGAAAACATAAAGGCAAGAACTCACTTGGCATTTTTTAAGCTGAAAGAATTAAAAAACAATTTCAAGCTTTGGGTTACAATGCTGAATGATGCCTTGGGCAAAATCATGAATGATCTAGAAATCATCAAAAGAAGATAGAAGGAATACACCAAGTCTCAATAGCAAAAAAGAATTGATGGCTACAGAGCCATTTCAAGAAGTAGCATATGATCAAGAGTGAATGGTGATACTGGAAAAAGTTCAAGTTGCATTGAAGGCATTAGCAAAAAAAATAGGGCCCTAGGAATCAGCAGGGTTCAAGTTGGCATGTTTCAACAAACAAAAACAGTCCTAGATGTGCTCACCCAGCTGTGCCAAGAAATTTGAAGGATAACTACCTGGAGAACCAACTAGAAGAGATTCATATTTTGTTCCTATTCCCAAATAGTGCATTGACAGAAAACTGCCAGAAATTCACACTGGATTTAGAAGAAGCCGTGGCACCAGGGACATCATTGCTGATGTCAGATAGGTCTTGGCTGAATTCAGAGAATACCAGCAGAATCAGCAGAGAATATTTATGTTTTATTAATTGTGCAAAGGCATTTGACTATGAAGATCATATCAAATTATGGCTGACATTTAGAAGAATGAGAATCTAAACAATTAATTGTGTTCATGCAAAACCTATACCTAGACCAAGAAGCTGTGATATGAACAGAGCAAGGGGACACTTCATAATTTAAATCAGGAAAGATGTACTTCAGGGCTGCACTACATCATCTCTCCATCCAAATAGGTGATACTGGCACTATTCCTCGAGAGTAGGTTTAACTGAAACTGTGTATAGTAATATATGTGGCGCATAACAACAACATGTACAGTACAATAAATAAAAAATCTAAGATCAACATAGTTTTTCTCTTAATCTCAGTTTCCTTTTGTATGAATTTAAGACATTGAACTAACTGGTTTCTTAGGGCCCTTCTCGCCTGTTATTCTGGAATAATGTTCCGTGAGTCAAGAAGAAAAAGATAATTGACTATAATGGTTTTAGTTGAATGGAACTTTTTTACCTGGTTAACCAATTATTTCTTCTTCTTATACTACTACTGCTGCTGCTGCTACTACTACAACAAATTATAGTCAACTCAACAACACCTAACAACAATAAGGAGATTATGGTGGAAGGAACTATATGAAGAGTTTACAGCCTTCAAAGTCTGTTTTCAGTTTTGATATTACACTTTCATAGCCCAGAAATTTCCCAGGCCAGAATTTTTAAAAAATCTAAATTATAGATTTTGTCTATCAGATTAGCAAAAACATTCTTTACCTATCCTACCTATGGATAGGGAGCTCTGGTGGCTTAGTGGTAAGAAAATGTGCTGCAATCCCAAAGGCACATGGTTCTAATCCACCAGCTGCTCAACAGGAGAAAGTGGGTGGGTCAGCTGTGAATCAGTTCTGACTTGATGTACACAACAAGAACAGTGCAGTTGTCAAAGATTTCCTTTATGTGGATCCACAATCAAGACCTATGGTAGCAGCTGTCAAGAAATCAAAAGCCATGTTGCATTGGGAAAATCTGCTGTAGGACCTCTTTAAAGTACTAAACATCAGGAATATCAGTTTAAAGACTAAGGTGCGCCTGATCCAATCCATAGTATTTTCAGTTGCTCTGTAGGCATATAAAAGTTGGACATGAATAAGGAAGAGAGAGGATTTATGCCTTTGAATTGTGGTGCTGGCAAAGAATATTCCGTAGACTGCCTACTCTGTCTTAGAAGTTCAACCAGAGTGCTCTTGGGTAGTGGAACTAGTCCTTGGAAAAGATATCATTCTGGGAAAAGTGGAGAGTCATTGGAAAAAAGACCTTTACCAAGATGGATTGACAGTGTTACTGCAACAATGGGCTTGAGCATGACAGAGGTCATGAGGATGGGGCAAAATTTCTGTCTCTTCTTCGTAAGGTCGCTATTAGCCATAGTTGTCTTATGGCACCTAAAAGTTACACTTAAAACCTGTTTACAATCAAAACAACTATGAGATATCATCTCAACCCAGTCAGAATAGCAAAATTTAACAGAACAGCAAGCAACAAATGCTGGGGAGGTTGTGGAGAAACTGGAACCCTATTTCATTGTTGTTGGTGGAAGTGTAAAATGATGCAACCACTGTGGAAGGTGGTGTGGCGCTTTCTCAAAAAGTTGCAAATATACCATTTGACCCAACAATTCCACTACTGGGAATATACTACAAAGAGACCATAACTGCCAACCAAGCAGATATATGCACACCCATGTTTATCACAGCTTTGTTCCAAATAGCAAGGAGTTGGAAACAACCTAAGTGCCCATCAACAAACAAATGGTTAGAGAAGCTGTGGTATATTCACACAATAGAATACTATGCTGCATTGAAAAACAAGGAACTCATGCAATATTCAAAATGGATGACTCTGGAGGACATCATGCTGAGTGAAGTATCTCAGTCACAAAAGGACAAATACTGCATGGTGCCACTGTTGTAAAATAGGACTGACATCAGGGTTGGCAAGAGACTAAGAAAGATGGGATAAATAATGTATACTGCATTGAAACAGATTTGGGAGAAAACTGTTAAAAGGGATATGTGATTAGGTATTTTTGTCATGATGGGAGTCCAGAGAAGGCTTCATAGTGGAGTGGACCTGGGGGGGAGGGATTCTAAAACAATGAATGGATATTTCTTTTACTTTTTCAAGAAGGGAGTGTACTGGGAAGAAGGGTGGACGGGGAGAAAAGTGCAACAGTGAATGAATGGAAATCCAAAATCTCTGTAAATTTTCATTGAAATTAATAATAATAAATAAAAGGGAGGGGACCCACCTGTTCACAAACTTTTCTACCTTGAATTGAGATCTTGAAACTTTCTAATTAGTTGCTAATGAATAGAAAAAAGGAGAGTCATCATGCAGCCATTATGGCTTCTCAGATGCCGTTAAAAACCCTGCTGGAGATTGAAAGAAAAAAATTTTTACATCCATTTGCAATACACTAGGGGGTAATATGAGGGAAGGGAAAACCGACAAGCATAGTGTTGAGACCTTTTCCTCTTCTTAGGTCTACCTTGTAACTGCGCTGACCAGTTCGTCCCTGTGTGTGGGCAGAACGGGCGCACTTACCCCAGTGCCTGCATTGCACGATGTGTGGGGCTCCAGGACCATCAGTTTGAGTTTGGATCCTGCATCTCAAAGGACCCATGTAATCCTAATCCTTGCCCCAAAAACCAAAGGTAAGTCAGATACCTCATTACCTTTTTTAGCTCAAGACCCTTACTTAGAAAGCATCTACTATGCACTAGGCAATAACATACAAAAATAATTAAGTCTTTTGTTTATATAGGTCGCTGTGAGTTGGGACCTACTCAGTGGTACCTAACAACATACAATGACCCACAGCTGACCCTCCAGTGAGTGGTTTTTCAGAGGTGGTGAATTGCGTGGGAGGAGATTTTCCATCTTTTCCTACAGAGATGGATTCAAACTGCATACAGTTCCCTACCAGGAAGGCACCAGAAAGAGAAGTTGTACTGCAATCCCAAAGGCACAGTTCAATTTCACCAGCTATTCTACTGGAGGAGGATGGACAGTCTCCTCCCATGAGATTTACTGTCTCTGATAACCCACTGGAGTGTCAGCTGTGGGTCAGCTCCAACTCTATGACAAATAACAAGAAGCCACCACGAGAATGTCTCGTGGCATAGTGGTTAAAAGCTGCACTATAATAACAAAAGCACACAGCTCAAATCCACCAGCTGCTCCATGGGAGGATGCGCAGTCTCCTCCCATGTGATTTACTGCAACCTCTGGAAGGTCGACTGTGAGTCGGCTCTGACTCAATGGCACACAACAACCAGAAGCCACCAAAATTTGCCCTAATCTTATCTCTGCACACCTATCCCACATCTACCTCCACAATAGGCATGAAAACCAGCCACCAGCAGGGGGCACAATAGGTCTAGTGTTCTTTCTGCCTTTCAAGCTTTCTGATAATCATTCCCAGAGAATTACAATTATTTGACCTGGCTGTTGGTTCTCTGGGAGAGCATAATCATCCTATTGAACACACAAAATCCAGTACCTTTTCCAGAGAACACTCAAAAAACTAAGAGTAGGAAGGGAACTTCCTCAATTTAATAAGCCTTTCTAGAAAAACCCACAGCCAACATCATTCTTGGCAATGAAAAACTGAAAGCTATGAATTTTTCAGGACGTAGATTGAAGCTTTCTCTCAAAACAGGCTCAGATTAACCAAGCAAATTACAATTTGTGTCAAGTCCTTATTCACACCAACCTTGTGTGTCAGAGTAGGGTTTTCAGTGGCTGGTTTTTAGGAAGTAGATTCATCACCAGGCTTTTCTTCCAGGATACATCTGTTTAGACCCAAACTGCTGATCTTTTGATTAGCAGCCAAGAGCACTGACTATTTATACCACTCAGAACTTCAGCAAAAAGATTGTTGCTGGGTACTATTGAGATCATTTCAACTCTTAGTGACCTGACGGAGCAGAATAAAACCATTCCATGGGTTTTCCTGGGCTGTACTATGTTATGGAAGCACAGCTCTTTCTCCTGTGATTTTAAATCAGCAGCCTGCTGAGTGCTTAGCCATTTGCCTTGTTAGGACTCCTTAGCAGAAAATTGGGCACCTAAAAATGCTTTATTCATTACTAAATAGAGGATCCCCATCGCAAGAATGTAGCCCACCTACCTGACTCCTCTCATGCCATATATACTCCATGTAACCTTTGTTCCTGCCCTCAGGTCACCTTCACCACACTTTTGCTCACAGAGCATCTTAAACCTGTGTGGCCCTCCTTCCCCTCCAGCTTCCAGCTAGAACAGTACCTTCTCCAGAATGCTTTCCTGGGCTCACTGCTCAGAATGACTGAAGTCACATGTAATTTTCTACCTCGTAGTCTATAAAGAACACTGGTGTTACAGTGTTTAAAATGCTCAACTGTTAACCAGTAAGTTGGTAGTTCAAACCCACTAGCCATCCACAAGAAAAAGTTGCGGGAATCTGCTTCCATAAAAATTTACATCTTTGAGAAGCGAGGGACCCTTCTACTCTGTCCTTTAAGGTTACTGTGAATGAGAATAACTCAGTGGCGATGTGATTTGTTGTTAGGTCTATCAAGTCAACTGCCACTCATAGCAACCCTGTGAGCAGGAAGTCAAAACCTTGTACTCTCCTGCACCTGCCATGCCCAAGCCCATTGTTCCCATCACTGTCAGTCCCTCCTCTTGAGGATCTTTCTCTCTTTCACAGACATTCTGCCTTTCCCAGCATGTCTTTTTCCAGGAACGTTGCCGGCTGACAACATGTCCACGTGTGTATGTGAGATGAAATCTCACCATCCGTGGGTTTTGGTTAATCCGTTTTATATGAGTGCTTGACTCTCTTGCTTATGTAAGATTTTTGGGGACAAGGGCTGTCTCCTGCCTTCTTCTCGGCCTCTTGTGCCTGGACCGTGCTTTGTTAGCCTGACCACATTCCCTTTGTCTGTTGGCTCATGTTGCTACATTCATGTTTTTCAGATGTGTACCAAAACCACAAGTCTGCCTGACAACTTTTGATAAATTTAGATGTAGCCAGTATGAATGTTTGCCAAGACAGCTCTCCTGTGACCAGGCCCGTGATCCTGTTTGTGACACAGACCATACGGAGCACAATAATCTCTGCACTTTATACCAAAGAGGAAAAACCCTCTCTTACAAAGGCCTGTGCCAGGTACAGTAGCTTGGCTGCCAAGGCAGAGTATACTAAGCATACAATTGTTTGCGATCTTTTACAAAGTAATCAGCAATAAGACCTATTGAAAAATCTCTTATCTTCTTAATCCTCCACAGAAATTGAACTCTCCCAAGATTGTCTTTTTCTCCTAACTCTGGAGGGATATGTGCATTTTTGTGTGTATCATGTCTGAGCAGGAGGACAAAGTAGTACCTTACAGCCACTGCTAGGAAAAAAGTTTAACATTTCATACCCCTGGCTTGTGTCACTTCCCCCAGTTCTCTCTCGAATGGTTACTCACTAGAAACCAAGTCAGAAAGAATGTGAGTTCAAACAACCAAGAAGAGGGTGTTTTCCCACTTTTCTCACCACAGTCCCACCTTCTGTAGCATTGAAAATTTCTCTAAAACTTAATGTCTTTTTATACCAGCTGAGTTCTTGATCTTTTGAGATTTAGCAATCTGAATTCATGATTCAGTAAATAAATAGCCACAAATCCGAGTGAGGCCTTCCCACTGGCACCACTGGTGTATGCTTTCTGAGGGACTCCGTGTTTGGCTCAGAATCCCCTGTCCACAACCAGCTAACAGCCAACATGAATTGCTTCTCATTCCTTGGTTTTCATGGTTATAAAAACCCTTCAACTTGTCTCTCCACTTGTTTTCTCTTCAAGCCTTTATTCCAGTTGCATCTGTACCATCTACTCTGAATTTTCAGTTTCCTCTTCCTCCTCGTTCTCTCTTCCTAGTATAACTAGTCTTAGAGTTTTCCAGTTGGGACATATTCCTAGTTGAGCTGATGGATTTGAAGTCTATCTGTCTTACTGTTGATCTTCCCTGGATTTTCTCTGCATATGCAAGTCTTCCTCCCCTGTGTCCAGTTTGAAAGGATAAGGCATCTGCATGAAGACCAGCTTTGTTTCCTTCTTCTAACAGGCACATTTAAAATACTAATAGAAATCTGGAGAAGGCTGAATTTGTACTCATATGAGTTTACCTTAAATAAGAGCTGAAGACTTAGGCTGAGAAAAGAGTTGTTTCAGCTCATCTTAGGACATCCCTGTTTAGCCCATTTCAGATATTAAGAGGGTCCTAGAATTTATGTCTCTGTCACTTTTGCTTCCTGGAAACATGAAGGCCTACGTTGTCCTCTGAGTCATTTTCTGGCTCAGTGTGTGTTTTTGCCCCCAGCCCTTCTGCAGTGTCACAGAGCCGGTGTGTGGACACAATGGTGAGACCTACAGCAGTGTGTGTGCTGCCTACTCAGACCGAGTGGCCATCGATTACCACGGCCCCTGCCAGGCGGTCGGCGTCCTCTCCGAGTACAGTTCCATTGCAGAGTGTGCTGCTGTGAAGTGTCCTCCACTTTCTGCAACAGGGTGCAAACCCATCATCCCACCGGGTAGGTTGACAGACTGTGGGTCAACCTTTAAAAGCTGTGACTTCTCTGTAGGACATTCTCTGGTCCAATGGAAGTAAAACCACATGTCAGACTTTTTCAAATAAAATCTTAATACCAGGTAACAAATGGATAAAGCCATACTTAAGAACTTAAAGTATGGGTTCTGATCTGAAATACTTATGTTTATAAAGCTGAAGAATCATGCGGTGGTAATTGACAGGTGAATAAAGTCATTTTGATGAACATATTTAAAATTGAGAGCAATAAAGGACGGTTGTTGTCTTAAATTAACTTTAGCATCTAACGTCAGTACTTTGGTTGCATATAATCAGGAAAGTCTTGTTTTATACAGACTGTTGAAAGCAATAATAGTGTTTTAAACAACTTACTTTATAATCTCACACTTCTGTTAAGAGGGCAGAAGAATCCTTATTATGAGTCAGTTTCATTCTTCTGTCCTTTAAGTCACCAAATATTTCTTGAGTTTCCACACCATGACAGACACTCTTCTAGGCACTGAGGACACAGCAGTGAGCAAAACCAAGGCTCTGCCCTTCGGGGGAACACGTTCTAAGGGAGGAGACAGATCAGACAAGTTGGTGTGCAAATCTGTCTTAAGGACAGTGAGCAAGATGAAAAGAAATGGAGGAGATAGGGAGGCCTGACTGAGGACATTTCTTATCTCCCAGTTTCTGATCTCTAGTGTGTTAAAATATGACATAGCATTACATTTGATTTTACCATATTTGCTATGAGTTTTTAGCAGTTTTAAATGTTTCCAGTTACATTTAAATCAAATGCCACCTCCCTCTGTGTGAAGGCCCCCATGTATTTCAGAAGCCCTGCACTCTTTGTGCTGTTTTACCCTACAGCTGTTTCCTCCAAGAAGTAGTGAAGGATAAGAGCAGAGATGCAGGAAGTATCTGGATAAATGTGTACATTATACACATCCCAAGTTGGTCAGGGAACATGCCTACAAGTGTAGTCATCAAGGACAGCTGTAATGCCTGTCACACTAAATGTCACACTGATCATTCTCACCAGCTACTTTGAATTCTTCATGTTTCTAACTCCAAACGTACATAAAATGATTTCTGTTCAACAGGTGCTTGTTGCCCATTATGTGCTGGGATGTTAAGAGTTTTATTTGACAAGGAAAAACTGGATACTATTGCCAAGGTAAATTGTTATATATACTTGCTATTATTATTCAAATGTTTTTCCTAAACTTATCAATAATTTTTCAGAGTAGAACAAATTGCCCCCATTTACAGATAAAGAACTTAATTTTCAAAGAAGTAACTAGCCAAAAGCCATGGAGTTTATAATTGGCAGAACTAGAGCGTGGATCCTAGTCCGTCTCCTCCCTGTCCTGTGTTCCCCTCCGACATGCTCCGGCTGCAGCTGCGTGATTTCTGGCCTCACTCTCCCATAAAAGCCTTTCCTACAGAAGGCCCCCTGCTGGTACCGGCATCGGGAGCAGTGAGGGACTGGGGACAGAACCTGGTAGACGCTGCAGTGGCGTCAAGGTTACCTTCCCACACGAATCCCTGTTCCTCCTGAGGGGAACGTCCAGAGCTCACCACTGTGTCAGGGCAGCTTTCCCTTTTTCTTTTTTTCCCCCCACTTCTGAGACAGATTTGTTTATTCTTTTAGCAGTTATGGAATATTCAGTATCATTCATCAACACTCCAACTCAAAGGCATTAATTCTACTCTTCTCTAGCTTATTTATTACCAAACTTTCACATGCATGTGGAGCACTTGAAAGTGCTAAAACTAGGATCAGGTGCAACTTAGTTTTGTGGGGTTTGGGGGTTTTTCCCCATTTTTTTTTGTCTGTTTCTTTGTTTACAAAATTTGTATACATTGTGTTTCACACTCTCCCTTTTTCTTAACATTACTTTTGTGGCTCACTCTTGGGGAAACAAGACAACAGAAATGCAGCAACCAAACTGAAAATTTAGAATTCAGCCTAGCATAGCCCAATTGAATTTCCTTGGTCAAGAGTCTCCTTGACTGGCAGCCGAAAGCAAAGTAGCTTAGGCAGTAATAAAAAGTTTTCTATTTCTCAGATATGATGAGGGTGTTCTTTTCCCCCTCTTTCTAGGTAACAAACAAAAAGCCAATAACAGTTCTGGAAATACTTGAGAAAATCCGCATGCACGTGTCTGTCCCACAGTGTGATGTATTTGGATACTTCAGCATTGAATCAGAAATTGTCATCCTGATCATTCCAGTCGATCATTATCCAAAAGCTCTGCAGGTGAGGTTCAGCATGTGTCATGAGGCTGTCTTTCCAGGTTTTAATTTGGTGACATTAGGTGGAGTTGGGTCTCGGCACATAGCGCTGGCTCAGGTGATGAGGAAGCAGAAGCATTTGAGAAGCTAGACAGGCAGGTGAGAGCAGGGCAGTGTCTGGAGGACAGAGCTCCACAGTGATTACTTGCTGTAGTGTCTGCGGCTCATTATACACACGACAGCGGGATGCAAAGCAGCCTAGAGAAGGCTGAGAGTTTTAAATACTGTGAAGGGCCTGAGAACCCTTTGAATTCGAGCTGCTGCTTGTATAGATGAGGCAACTGAGGCCCAAACAGAAACAGGGTGACACAGGTCAGGTAAGACAGAGCCTGAATAGACTCTGCTCTCCTGAAATCGACTCTCCACTATACAGGAAAACTCCATCAAACTAGATTGGTCAGCCCTCACTTTCCTTCCTCACAATCTGAAAATTACATACATTTCCTCCTCACGAGTGTGAATGTGAACCTCATTCACATAGGCTCACTTTCAGCATCAAAGTAGTGAGGGCATAAATGCAAGTGTTTTATCAGCTGTCATAATAAACCTGATTAAGTCTCATTGTTTGCATCTTCATTTTTATAAATAGTTGAAAATATATTCCCTACAAATGTGATTCATCACATACACTTACTCTCCACATATAGCAGGATTTTCATAGGTTTGTGAGAAATGAAAACGGTTGCTTGATTAGAGTACCAGAATTGTGAAGCATTTCTTCCTTGGCTGGACTTCCAGGAAATGCAAGCATAACTCCTTCATGTTGCTTTTATTTATGTACTAAATGAAGACTATAATAAACTCTTACTTTGGCTCAGAAGAAAAGAACAAAGAGAAGCCATATGCCCTTTGAAGCCACACTGTTGCTGTGTTGATGTGTGGAACTGATCTGAAATGACCATTTCAAGCATTCTGTGGTTTTATTAAGAGACTCTGATTTTCCCCTTCCAGATTGAGGCCTGCAATAAAGAAGCGGAAAAGATTGAATCTCTTATCAACTCTGACAGCCCTACTCTGACATCCCACGTCCCTCTCTCCGCCCTTATCATTTCCCAGGTACAGGTGTCCAGCAGCATGCCCTCAGCTGGCATCAGAGCCAGATCTCCACGTCACGCTTGCCTCTTCCTCTTCAGCCTGATCCTTGCCTTGCACTTGTTCTGGGCACATCACTGAATGCCCACAAAAGGTGCATAATGTTCCCTTATCAAATGTTTCTACTTGTGAAAGACATTCAGGACTGCTGGTGTGAGTTGAGTAGTGGCCGAGTAAAAGCACACGTCACCTCTGTTCACCACACAGTATTTTTTAAATCTACCAATAATAGAGTTTTATTTTTGCAAATGTTATTCCCCCAAGGACTAATGTATCTTTCTCATGGATTCTCTGTGAATTCCACCTTATTCATCAGATGGATCCTCCACTCTAAAACCGATTTAATGTCACTGGTAAATACTAATGATGGTTCTCTTTTTAGAAAGATAACTTGGCTGTCTATCGGTTTCACATCACAGACATTTCATTAAGCATTAAGGTTTCTCTGTGGATTTGTTTACAGATAATTATTCTATCCATGAACTAAGTGGTAATAGTATAAAATATTTAAGTATAAAATGATAATAAAGCATCTTTAAAATTATAGATCATCAGTCAGACTTAAATAATTTACAGGAATTGGATTCAGAAACCCAACAGTTGTGTCAAGCAAAAACAAGGTGATCACATGACACACAATTCTTTATTGTAAGTGATCTTCTTCGCTGTCACTGATGCCTCTATGACTTTTGTGAAAGGGAGAAGTACCTTGCCTCAAAACATCCTGCATTTTGCCATTTTTATATTAACCAGATATATATTCTTATGTATTCTGATTTAGAGTGTTTAAACATCAGCCTTTAAACCATTTGCTGCTACTTATATAAGAAGCCCCCCAAAAAGTGAACTAATTAGTAGTTCATGTAAATAAATACATGCCTTTTCTATTTTATTATGAAGGTGAATAGCCATATTTGTAAAATGACAATCATGTGTGTTAACTCAGTATTTTCCGTTCATGAAGACACATTTGCTTTTTGTGATATGCACAATGTAGATAAGTGTTCTGACTTTTTTATATAGAATTATAAAGAATTAAGGTTTATAATTATATTTAAAATGTCAATCTAAGTATTAAAATGTTTTGCATGTTGTCTAAGAAATCGAGTACTTTGATTGTTTCACAGTTTGAAATAAGCTATACAATGTAATACTTATTTTTTGTATGCACCTGAATTTAGATTTTACATGAAGTATTTTTTCAGTATTATATGTACCTTCTGAAATATATATGAATATGCTTATTATACCAAAATGTTGAAAAATGGGCACTTAAAGCTTCCAAAATATCTCAATGCTGATGTAGCATGTTTGTTGCAATTTTTTGTATAAATGTCTTCAATGCAATATACTGGAAAGCTTTTCTATTTTAATAAAAATAATTTTATATGATTATCCCTCTGTACTTCTAAGCAATATAAGCATTTAAAAATTAAAGCATTAGTCACTCTTGGTTTAGCTGTGTCCTTTCCTCGGGAATAAGGGCCATGGAATATCCCAAACTGAAGGCCCTGTGAGAGTGAAATAGCTAAAACAGAGCTGACCAGACCAGACAGAGGGCTACAGTTGTTGAGGATCACTCGAAAATCCCAGCACTGGGCCATCAGGACAGAGCTCCATGCCAATCAACAGACTAGACTCATCTCCTAACTGCCCTGGCCTCGATAGTCCAGCTCAGGGTATGTCCCATACAAAGTGAACCTTAAAATAGGGCATCATGAAGCTTAATGACTAAGACCTATGAAGTTATATCAGTAAACTTGAGCTAAAACTATTTAAAGTAAATCTATTCCTAGGACTCATGCGTATCAGAGTAGAACTGTGTTCCTTAAGATTTCCGGTTGCTAATTTTCTCAAAGTTGATCTGGAGGTCTTTTTCTTAACAGTGGTGGGCTTGAACCTCCAACCTTTCATTTAGCAGTTGAGCATGTGACGCTTTTGCACTAACTAGGGACTCCCAGTTTAGTCTGAGTCTCCCAAATACCGGAGACTTAAAACAATCAAAGCTTCTGTCATACATCATTATTATGGTGAGTCAGCTGTGAATCTCCTCTCTTCCATCTTAATGCTAGGCCCCTACTGGGCAGGGGTAAAATGTACAGAGACAGCAGCTGTCCCTTCACCTCCATTTTCTCATAGGGAAACTGTATATAGACAAAAAAAAATATTTGTTCAAACAGAGCAAAGGGATACAGCATGGCTTAAGACAGGAAAGGTGTGCATCAAGATTGTATCCTTTTCCCATACCTATTCAAACTTTATACTAAGTAAATAATACAAGAAGCTGGACTATATAGAGAATGGTATCAGGATTGGAGGAAGACTCATCAACAGTCTGTGTTATACAAATGACACAACTGCTTGCAGAAAGTGAAAAAGACTTGAAACCTTTACTGAAGAAAATCAAAAGACTATAGCCTTCAATATGGATTATATCTAATATCAGGTATACAAAAATCCTCACAATTGGACCAACAAGCACTATTATCATAAACGGAAAAAAATATTGAAGTTGTCGGTTAGCTTTATTGACTTGGTTCCACCATCCATACTATTAGTAGCAGCAGTCAGGAAATCTAAAGATACGTTGCGCTGAGCAAATCTCCCAAGGACCTACGGGCTAAAGAGCGAAGAGGTCAATTTTAAGATGAATGTGTCCCCAGCTCAAGCCATAGTTTTTCCGTTGCTTCATATGCACATGACAGTTGGACGATGAAGCTTCCTTGACTGAAGAGCTACTTTGAATTACAGTGTTGGTGAAGAGTATTGGGTATTTCATGGACCGCCAAAAGAACAACAGATCTGTCTTCACTGCCTCTGAAAACCTGCTGCAGGGTCAGCTCTAGTTCAGCTAAGACTTGATGGTACACAATAACATGAGTCCCAGTCAGCTTGGTGGTACCTAATAACAACCCAATCATTTTAGCAATCAGAAACAGTCATTATTAGTCCTTCATTAGAGTCCTTCCTGGGAGTCCTTTCTACGTCCTTTCTGATATAGAGCCATAGCAGAAGTAATGGACCAAAGTCACAGAGTGAGTCAGAGCTCAAGAACGCTGGGCTTAAGCCTGGGCCTCTCCTGGCACTAAGGCAGGCAAACAGGATTTGTGCTGCTCAGGGATGGAGCATGCTACATGGGAGGCCACCTTGTAGTAAAGTACCAGGGAGTGGACAGCAAAATGGGCCCAAAGTCAGCTCAAGGTAGATACCATGTGAGGAGATACTAAAAGAGGAGGAATCCTTTCATACAGATGTTAGCTGTCATCAAGTTGGTACCCTGTATGCATAGCAACTCAGTATCTATACTTCCCAGACCTACAGCATCCTTGCAGTCATTCCTGTGTAAGCCTACGGCTCCATCAATGGTGTCAGTCCATCACATTGAAGGTCTTCCTCTTTTTATTGGCTCCTCTATCAAGTATGATCTCTTTCTCCAGTGACTGGTCCCTTATAACATGCCTAGTGTTCAGCATAAGTGAGATGAAGTGTCTCCATCCTCACTTCTTGTCCTAGCAGGGGAGTATGACTACTCGTACAGCCTTGAGCGAAAGACAGTTATCCTGTGGGGAAGGTTATCCCTTTCAACCAAGCACACAACTTTGGGAGGGTTGCACATGGACCAGTGAAGGAGGAAGGGGACACCAACCTAACCTATCAGATGAGCTGAATCAACCATGGTGATCAGTGAAGTGACAGATACTACAGCCAGGTTACCCTCACATCCTCACCATCTTCACTGCTAAGGAACATTCTGGCTCCACTTTTCCAAGATAGATTTGTTCATTCTTCTGGAAGACCCAAATGCTTTGCTAAAACTACTCTTCCATCTCCCTAATCATTGTCCAGCTTTCACATGCATGTGAGGTGATTGAAGATATGACTTGGATCAGGTATACCTTAGTCTTCAAAATAACATCTTTGCTTCTTAACACTTTTTTTTCCTGAGGGAAAATACCCTTTTTTAAAAAAAAAAAATTATTTATGCCCTCACTTACCTTTGTATAATTATTCATATACATTGTTTTTTCTACCCTTTCTATAAATTGTATTTTATATAATTAATTGCTATTCATTGTTACTTTTGCCTCCCATCTCCTTCTTTGAACCTTGCCTATCCCATCCCCCTACTAATCTCTGCTATCCTAATGATTTCCTCTTCCTTCTTTCACATCCCTTTCCCCCTTTCCCTTTCAAACAGTTAATGTATATTGTGTTGCTACTTGCTAATTGTAATAGCCATATTATCTTTATCTCTGTTCTTCCCTGGTTGATCCTCTCTTGATGTGATTCTTTTTTTTTAATTTTTTTTATTATTATTTTGTACGTGTGTGTCTGTGTACCATCAGATCAGATCTGACTGGTACAGGAGGAGATTGTCCCTCCTTTCCCGGCAGAGCATCTGGTGGATTTGAACCATGAGCCTCTGGGATTGCAGTGCAGCTTCTTGCCACTAGGCCACCAGAGCTCCCCCTGATGTGATTCTTGTAGTGTTGTCTCCTCATTGCATTTCTAAACTCTCCCTCACCTCTCAGTTACACTCCTATTTTCATAGGAGTGGTCTTATACAGTATTTATCCTTATTTTGCTCTGCATAATGCTTTCTAGAGTCTCCTATGTTGTGTCAAATTTTATGGATACTTTGTTGTTCATTAATGCTACATAGTATTACATTGTACAGTATGCCACAGTTTTCTATGCATTTGTTTGTTGATGGTCATTTCTGTTGTTCCCATTTCCTTGCTGTTATAAACGATGCTGCTGTGAACATAAGTGAACATATCTCTGTGTCTTAGCACTGATTTCCTTGTAGTATATTCCCAACAGTGGAATGGACAGGTCATATGGGATTTCTATGTTCAGCTTTTTTGAGGAAACACCAAACTGCCTTCCATAATGATTGTACCATTTTCAGTCCCACCAGCAGTGCATGAAAATTCCAATCTCTCCACATCCTCTCCAACATTCATTACTTGATATCCTGTTAAACTTTGCTACTACTGCTGGGGTAAGATGTATCATTTTCATTTGTAGATCTCTCTGGTTGCCAGTGATTTTGAACATTTCTTCTTGTGTTTTTTGGCCATCCGAATGTCCTAAAAAAGATCTTTTGCAGCAGATTTGCTTAATGCAATACGTCATTGATTTCTTGACTACTGTTTCTATGTTGTTGTTGTTGTTGTTATTGCTACGTACTATCAAGTTGGAACTGGCCCATAGCTGACCCTCCAGCGAGTTTTCAGAGGTGGATGATCACACGGAAGCAGATTACACAAGAATTGAGTATGATCCCAAGCAAGTTCAATCTTTTCTTCATTTATTATGATGTTGCTAGTTGGTGCAGTTGAGAGGATTTTTTTTTTTATTGAGCTGTAGCTAATATTGATAAGAAAGTCCAAGATATCAATATGATCAAGAGTCCAGTTTTCAAGAACTGTAATTGCTTGTGACCTGGAAAAAAAAGTTCAAAGTACATGAAGCAAACTGATGAGACTTAAAGCAGAAACAATTAAATGGACAACTACAGTTAAAGATTCAATAGGAGAGAAACAGAAAAATCAATAAAAATATAGAAGACTTGAGCAACTATCAGTCAACTTTTTATAAAGGGCATTTGTTTATAAGACATTTCAACCAATAACAACAGAACACATAGTTTCAAGTTGGTGGTGTTGTTGTTATGTGCCGTTGAGTTGCTTGCGACTCGTAGCAACCCTATGTACAACAGCCCTAAACCCTGCTCTATCCTGTGCCAATTGCACTGCCTCTGACACACCCGTCCCGATTACCCCAGTCACTGAATCAATCCACCCC